TTCCATTTATAATCATGTATGATTATATATAATTATGTATGATTATATATAATCTTGCTTGGCTGTATGTTGCTCTATATATAGTCATATATAATTGTATATGATTATAAATAACCTCATATACAATTTCATATATAATCATGTATGATTATATGTAATTATATATGATTATATATAATTCTATATAATTATATATGATTATATATGACCTCATATACAGTTCCATTTATAATCATGTATGATTATATATAATCTTGCATGGCTGTGTATAGCTCCATTTATAGTTATGTATAATTATATATGATTATATATAACCTCATATACAATTCGATATATAATCATGTATGATTATATATAATCTTGCATGGCTGTGTATAGCTCCATTTATAGTTATGTATAATTATATATGATTATATATAACCTCATATACAATTCGATATATAATCATGTATGATTATATATAATTATGTATGATTATATATAATCTTGCTTGGCTGTATGTTGCTCTATATATAGTCATATATAATTGTATATGATTATAAATAACCTCATATACAATTTCATATATAATCATGTATGATTATATGTAATTATATATGATTATATATAATTCTATATAATTATATATGATTATATATAACCTAATATACAATTCTATATATAATCATGTATGATTATATATAACTATATATGATTATATATAACAATATTTAATTATAGATTTATTACATCTCATTAATTATTGGGTTAATTTTATGGATAGATTATTTAATATGGTCCTACGCAATTCTGTGTAACCGATCAAGATGCAAAAAAAATATCTAGATCCAATTTAATGGCTATAACACCAGCAGTCACCCATCCAACGATTAACTCTGCTCAATGCTGCTTAACTTTGGTGATCTCCGTGTGTCTTGAAGTTTCTGTCTGCTGTGCTGCTATCTTAGACAATAATGATTTTATGATCTACTTAATGTATCATATGAGTTTATCATAATTATAATATAAAAATTGATTTTATAATATATTTGGATATTCATAATTCATAATTTATTTATCTTACCGAATTTCATTATAATATAACACTTATTTAAATAATAAAATAAATAATGATTTTACTATTACGTAGTAGCAGAGCAGAATTATTTAAACGTAATTATAAACATCATTTTACACTTTTTGTGATTGCCAAAAAAAACTTTTTTTTCAAAGAAAAAATTTTTATGTATGTTAATTATATATAAGCATATATAATTATATATGGGACTATGTACAATCTTGCATAGCTGTATATTGCTCCATATATAGTCATATATAATTAAATATGATTATATATGACTTCATATACAATTCCATATATAATCATGTATGATTATATATAACTATATATAATTATATATAATCTTGCTTGGCTGTATATTGCTCTATATATAGTCATATATAATTATGTATGATTATATATAACCTCATATACAATTCCATATATAATCATGTATGATTATATATAATTTTATTTACTTATATATATTTGTATATGGAACTATATATCATCCTGCATGGTTGTATATCGCTCCATATATAGTCATATATAATTATATATGATTATATATAACCTCATACACAATTCCATATATAATCATGTATGATTATATATAATTATATATGATTATATATCATTCTATATAATTATATATGTGATTCCATATATAATCATATATGATTATATACAATTATATATGATTATATAGAAACATTTTTTCTCGGGAGCTCAAATCTTAGAACAGCTAACTCTTTAAGCTTGAAGAGCTCAAAAACGTCATAATTGCAATTTTAAGCACTTAGATATGGAATTAGCGGGAAGTTGCAGGGATGACCTTTAGGGTCAACCGTTTTCCAGATTTTTTTCACATCAATTATTCAATTCTTAAGAATGCTGGCCAGGATGTTATAACACAAACATTTACATTTATGAAGAATATTCGCAACAATAAATAAATAAACAAGAAGTATAAGTAAGTTTTATTGAATTTTGAATCTGTAGAAGGTAATAAAGAAACATTTTAGCCAAACTTATTCTTAATTTGAAAATCAAATTTCATACTATCCCTGGTTAAGAATACTGATTGAAAAGAACCCTGATAGCCAAGTTGGTCGCAACTTTCTGCAATCACCAAGTTGGCAGCAAGTTTTGAAAATCAACTCGGTTGGTGTGAACTCGGTTGTCGGCAAAAACTGCTTCTGAAACTTTTTCACATCAAGTTGACGATAAGTTTCCCAAGGAATTTCGCGACATATTGCGGCAGTAGATTGGTCTTCTTTTTCTCAGAAACTTGTAGCCAACTTGATGCCAACAGCTAAAAATTCAGAACTTGACTGCAAGTTGTCGCTAAGTTGGTGGCAAGTATCTAATACCAACTTTGTTGGTCTGAAACTCTGGCTATCAGGTAATTGAGAAGCAATCACTCCATGCAAACTATATATCTTTATATACAAATAAAAGAATTGAAATTATTGAAAAAAATTCGAATTTCATGTTTTTCAATTATTTTCCATCAGTATTTTTGAACAGGGATGCCCAGTGAAGGGAGCAGAGAGCGACTAGGACTTTACATAAGTAACTGATTACTCAACGTTTATTTTTCAAAATTTGAAAAAGGATTCTAAGTATAATGATAAATGTTGAATGAATTTTAATTATATTAAATACAAATGATTATTAAAGGAAAATTACAAAATTATCATACAAATGAAATTAATCTCCAATTAAAAAATAATGACTAAAATTTTACAGATCTTTTGTTTTGCCATTGATTATTTCATACGTATTAAATGATTATTCTTAAGACATTGAGGAACAAGGTAAGCGAGGTGATCCCATTTGCGTAAGAACTCGATCAAGCCATTGGAGGGGGCCATTTAAATGTAGTTCAATCCAACATGGAGTTGAAGTTACAGTTTGACGACGATACTCTGCACCCCAGCCTTTTACGAAACTCATCCTTATTGTACACATTCTTGTTAGTTGATAAACGGCCTCAAATCCCTGAGATACTGATTGTGATAACAAGGCTGCGAATTCCTGATTATTGAAGATTTTCAGATTGCAGCCTAAAATAAATGTGAAAAATTATTATTCATTTATATGATTCCCTGAAAACACTGAATTGTTTTAACAAATTATTTTGAGTTACAAAATGTCAATACTATGTTTCAAATATAAAACACATTTCTTTGTAGTCACATAGTAATAAGAGCTTTACAAACAAGATACTAAAACTTCTTTTGACTATTACCAAATAGTTGAATTTCAGTTTTAATAGTGTTTTTTTGTATATTGGTTGAAAATTTTTAACCATGACAATTATTTACGTCTGTAAAAATAGCATTGACACCATACAGCTTTAATCGACATTATTAGTGATTGCTTGGAATCTAATCGAGCAACAAAATTCTAATTGGAGCACTTAATTAACAACAAACTTGACTCCACAAATAAATTTTTTTGCTTGAATAATGACCGCGATACTAATGGTCAATGCTAGACGATTCAATGCCAGCTTTACAGAGATCACTTTATTATTTTACTGCTTGTTGTTATTATTGGAACTTAAAGTACTTTATGAGCCCTAATTTTAACATAGCTTATAAAATGTTACAACTTAGATCCACGCAATTTAAGCTGATTTCATGAGACATTTGACATGGTGAATGATGATATTCTCATCAATAAACTTATTCAGTATGACGTGAGAGGTAAGGCCCTAGATTAGTTCTGTTTTTACTTAACTAGGAGATTCGTAAAGGTATAAGTTTCTAAAGTAAAACATGAAAAAACTTCTTGTAAATTAAAGTAGTTATTATGATTTAAAATAAGAAATCAACGATGTACCAGTTACTAAGTTAACTGTTAATAGTTACTACTCATTGCGTTATTTCACGAAACAATTGAAACTTCTAAAGTATGTGATATAAAAACATTAACCTGGAGGTATTTTGCAGACAGTCGCTGGATGCCATCCATAGCGTTGATTACAGTTTGGGCTTTGAACGAAAATGCTTGAATCAGATTGACACTCAGCAAAAACTTCCCCACCGATATAGTACAATCTAACTCCTTTGCCAATATGTCGTCTGGTTTGCTCCACCACTGTATTTCTATTAACATTTGACAGCAAACCAAGACAAAAACGTTCAGAATTACTGGGATCCGTAAATCCATCCACCGTTATACTCGGTTGTGAAGCATGAAATGTTTCACCAACTCTTGTGTTTAATTCGTAGTAGCTTATCGAACACCTATTTAAAACAGAAATACTTAATTGTTATTTCTACTAAAAAACAGAAAAAAAAATGAAAATTTAATAACTTACCAAAATGCTGGTTCGCAATACATAACCGGTTGAGCATCTACAGGACTAGGTGATAAACGTGAAAGAGACATATTGTCATTGTGGTCAATATTATCACCGTCTTCGCTAATATACCCAGGTGGCGGAGTATCTGCCGGTGGATCCATTGACCCAGACGCAGGATGAGGTGAACCTTGAATACTTCCCAAACTTCCTACACTTGCGGGACTGGTTGCTTGCATATTCTATTATTATAAAAAATTATTTCAAAATTTTTATTAATCGTTATCAACAAGACAAATGCAAACCGAACCTGCATCGCTTGATATGGGTTATTTGGTTGTTGCTGTTGTGATGAATGAGGGATGCCTTGCTGATTACTATATCGATGATTTAGTGTAGCGTGAAAACTTGTATTTTCAGGAACACTAACGTTAAGTTCTTCAAAAGATGTATTGTATAGTACCGAATCGTCATTTGAAAGATTATGTCTCGGTACCAAAATAGCTGGTAAAACTGTAAAATATTAAATTCAATTTTCGAATTTAACTCAATTCTAAATCATACACAAAGAACTATTCAGCCTGGTATGAATTCTTATATTTCATCGATGACAAACTTACCAGGTGTTTGTATTCTCTGATAATGGTAAGGGTTTACACACACCTCATCCTTTTTTTGAGTAAAAGAGTATTCACAATGATCAATAGCTCTAAGCTCGTGATGAGACTGAAGATCTGGCCACCTCCAAAGACGACAATAGATTACATGCGGCAACCCTTTTCCTCGTGCACCTTGAACTCCGTTATCAGCTACACCACCGGGACTAGACCTATAAAAGCCATAAAGTTCAGGTGTAGAATCAATCACTACACGGAAAAAAGTAAACTGTAATATTCACTCGGATTCCGGTTAGTTTTTATAGTTTTAAACAGTAAAGCGGACATCGGGGTGGCAAAAATGTAAATATTACAGAACTTAATGTAGAAAGTATAAAAGCCACAATTTATAATTTAATATCCAAAATAAGTGATTAGTAGTTGTCACTATAGTAAATAACGACTCTTTCATCTTTAAAAATTACAGTTTCAAACAGTAAAAATTGCCATTTCAATATATACTCCATATTATGAAGAGAAGGGGAATTCAGATGAAAGAGAAGGGGTCTCACTCTGGGAAAATTTAATATTTCAAACCGTAAAAATTATACTTTTAAAATATACATTTTACCAGTCTAAGCAAGTCAATAATTACAGTTTGATTTTTAGCGTTGCGTTTAAAATTTACCATTTTACTTTGTAAATATTGACGTTGCTTGTATTAAAAATTAACTAACTTTGTTTTATACTTTTTACATATCATAACATCATTTTTTAGGTACGAAATGATAAATATCAAAGTCTGAATTTTTAATTATTATACTTTAACATTTTAGACATTTACATAGCGAATATTACTGTTTGAAATAAGTATTTTCTTCCATGTAAAGAGTAAATTGTAACGTTTAAATTGTAAATATTACAATGTGAATAGTAAAATCACGATTTTACTGTTTGAAATGGTAATTTTTAGCAGTTAATCATTACTTATTATAAATCGACTGTTATTTATTACAGTTTACTTTTTTCCGTGTACTATTAATATTAACAAATCGTCAAAAATTATAATTATTAAATAAAATATAAATCATAACACCGGCACACAAAAAAAATTAAGTAGAATGTGCATTTGACCGAACCTACCTACGGGTACGTATTTTGGTCCGCTGAATCCGAATTCGAGGTCAGTTTGACCCCTATACCCTCGAAATTTCGAGAAAACTTCAAAAAACCGTAAAAATGATGAAAATCGGCAGTTTTAATGACAAAAAAATTTTTTGGAACTAAACTAAGCGTGATTTTCATGTATTTCGATCCGCTGAATATGATCCGAAACTTTATTGAGACCACGAGCTATTTAAAATGTGAAAAAATCACACAAAACTCTCGAAAATTCCGAAAAAAATATAGTTTTCATGATAAAAAAACTTCTTCTGGTCTAATTCAGATAAAATTTTATATTTTTTGATGTCTTCAATTCGCATGTTAATTTTTTTAGTCTATTCACCCTCTAAAGCTGGAAAAATTCGAAAAAATTGTAAAAATTACCATTCATAACAGAAAAAAAATTGATTGAACATGATTTAATGCCTAAAATAAATACTCTAACGTAGATATATTAAATAATTTGAAATCTATGAAAAACACAAGACATAAAAAGATAGAAGGAAATGATTTTTACGAATCCTAAACTTTCCTTCGTTTGTATCGCACTCTTTTATTCCCAAATGATCTTCGTAGTGGATTCCTCTTTCGTTTACGATTTTCTTCGGGTACTTCTTTTTTTAACATCCAACAAAAATCTGCCATCATGTTAACACTCCAATTTCCTTGATATCTACTCTCCATTTCACTGATGTCTTGGTGAAAACGTTCTCCCTGTTCTTCACTATAGTCTCCACAATTGTCAGGGAAGTGGTCAAGATGAGAATCTAAAAAGTGTAATTTAAGATTCATTAAACAACCCAAATTTTTGTAGTTTTCCAGCAATGCGTCAACTAAAGTTCTGTAATCCTCACTTCTGTTATTTCCCAAAAAGTTTTGTGAAACATTTTTGAAGCTTACCCAAGCTACTTTTTCTGTGTCGTTCATTGTTTCTTCAAAATTTGCATCCTGAAATAAAGATCGTATTCGGGATCCATCAAAAATTCCCTCTTTCAATTTCGCATCACTTATTGCAGGGAACTTTCCTCTCAAGTATGCAAAACAATCACCATCTTTATTCAGAGCTTTCACGTACTGTTTTATGAGTCCCAACTTGATATGTAGTGGTGGCACCAAATATTTGGAAGGCTGAATTAAGGGTGGTCGTATAACGTTATGGGAACCTAGATTCAATGCAGATCTTGATGGCCATTCTTTTTTGACATAGTGATTTTTCCGGTCTCTGCTATCAAATAAACATAATTAGCAAGAATACTTGGTGAATCCCTATTGCTGACCTAAAAGAAGTGTTGCAATTTTGAGATCTCCACAAATTTTCCAGTTATGCTCGGAATATTTTATTTTTCCCAATACAATCTGTAAATTTTCTTAAGTTTCTTTCAGTTTTGTTGAATGAGCTATTGGAATCGGCGCAAATTCATTCCCAATATGAAGCAAAACAGCTTGAAGACTTCGTTTCGATGAATCGATAATAAGTCTCCACTCATCGTTCTTATATGTGTTCGGTTTCAATTCATCAACTAAAGATTTAACATCTGAACAGTATACCACCGAATTTTGATCGTCGTTCATAAAAAATTTCCGGAATTTTTTTTCCCTATTTCGATAGAATGTCACTGATACACCTTTAGCCAACAAATGTTTTTCTTTCAACCTTGACACAAGTAATTCAGCTCCATCTTTCGGTAAAGCCAAGTCTCGAACCAGATCATTAAGTTCTTCTCGACTAAACATTTCAGGGTCTTTTGTTTTTCCGCCAGGTAAGTACTCTTCATCTTCTGAATATTCTTATTCCGAACTTTCTTCAACTAGCGTATCGTCTTCTTCTACATCCATTTCTTCAACCGTATTAATTTCCTTGAGAACTTCTATTTTTTGTGGCTTAATAGCTGATGAAACATTGGCGTATACAATTTTGTTTTTTGTATTCCAAGTGAACCCGGTAGTATCTGTCATACAGAAATAACAATTCTGTAAACCAGTTGGTGAAGACCATATCATTGGTATTGTGAATTTCAAGTTGTCCTGTTTCTTGTTTTTTTCCCACCGGGTTAACATCATGTTACATCGACTACAAATCGTATGTGGAACCCATGCTGAATCCAAATTAGTAATTTGGAGACCAAAACATTCTTCATAAATTTGTTTGATCTTATCAGATAACGATCTTCGATTCCTTTTCAAATTGAATTCTCCACAAATGTAACAAAATGAATCAGGACTTTTATTACACAGATGAGAATTACTTCTTGTAATAGTATACTCTCCAGTAGCCAAGTTTCCTACTTCTGAAGAGCTGCAGTCGCTTGATGACGACGCCTGCGAGCCTGCTTTCTCACCCTGACCAGACGCCGATACTGGGGCTCCGACTCCCTGCATCGTCAAGTACTTATTACTTGTACCTGCCATGGCAGCACACACGCCGTTAACCCAGGGACTCTACCAGATGGTTCTGTTGCTCACCGTCACCACGTGGAGGTGCCCTGGTTACAGGCACAAGCAATTAAGTCTTCAAAAGTCAAAAACGAGAGTAAAAAAACCAAAAAAATTACTTTTTTCGGAATTGGAGGTTGGCAATGGCCTGGTCGGCTCGGTGGTCACTTTTCGAACGAGTGGGACCCGGGTTCGATCCCAGCACGCACCACTATTTTTCAGTGATTATAAATAAAAATATGTGCGTTACGTTACGTTGCCAACCTCTGGGTGTGGCAGAGATAGCCGGGCGGCACACGTCTGACTTGGGCGATCACCCATTTAAGCAACAACTTGAATGAGTGACCACTCTAGTCGGCGTTGGCTAGCGCGAGGGATCTCTGCACACTAGGAGAGGGGCCTAATGCTCCAGTGGTCGATAAAGAAGAATTTCGTATCAATCACAGTAGACTTAACCCAGCTCCGACTGTACTAATATGGGTTTTCTCTGTGGTTTTCCCATGTTACTGTTCCAATAGCCGAGTGGTGAGGATCAGGGTGAATACGGTACAGAAGGCACAAGTCGGTCCACAGCCGCAATGATAAGGCAGGTTAACTAAGCAGAAAGGCTTAGGGTGTAAAAGGGCGTTATTACGCCTGTACATTAGAAATCCGTTAAATAAATAATAATACTTTTTTCGGAATTTTGGAGGGTTTGTGTGATTTTTTTACGTTTAAAACGGCTTGTGGTCTCAATAAAGTTTCGGATCATATTCAGCGGATCGAAATACATGAAAATCACGCTTAGTTTAGTTCCAAAAAATTTTTTTGTCATTAAAACTGCCGATTTTCATCATTTTTACGGTTTTTTGAAGTTTTCTCGAAATTTCGAGGGTGTAGGGGTCAAACTGACCTCGAATTCGGATTCAGCGGACCAAAATACGTACCCGTGGGTAGGTCTGGTCAAATACACATTCTACTTAATTTTTTTTGTGTGCCGGTGTAATTTTTTTCTGCTTGAATATATACATTGCAAGTGTGATAATTGTTAAACTATAAATTTAAGATTTTTTTCCTCTTTTGGAGCAATTCTTGGAAGGTTTCAGAATAGATCCTCGTTGGAAAAATTAAAAAATTTTTATTTTTCAGTTTTTTATTAATAATTTTCGTTGTTGCAAAATTAAAAATTAAAAAAACAAATTTTTTCGATGATTAATTTATCATCGAAAAAATATATTTTTTAAAAATATTATTAATGATCCGTTTTTATGTTGTCAGAAGCTGCAGAGAAAAAATTTATTTTTTATTTTTATCTCTTGTTGTTTAAAAAATTGTTATAAACAAATGCGTTGTTTATAAGATTATTGATGAAGATTTTTTTATGGAATTTCAATCTTTGATATAAATAATGATTTTTAAAAGAAAAATTGTTCCTGAAACAAATTTTTGGAGTTTATTGGAGTTTACACACAATTATTTTATTTATATCTATCGATATTAATTTGTGATTTGAAAATATTAACAAGTTAATAAAGTTAGCTATTTTGACGAATTAATGTAAATAAATGTATCATGTATGCTTCGAGTAATATAATAGTTAATTTCATTTACCATCATTTACTAGTCTATCCATACAATATAATCGTTCGTAAGGAGTAAACTCCAGTCGTGCGT